TTTTTCACATTTGAGTCAGTTCGATTCCCAGGCGAGACATTAAATGCAGTAATACTTACTTTTCAAAATAAAATAAAGTTTCCTTTAGCAAAATATCCTATCTACGATATTTAAGGTACTTTCCCTTGATGTCACAGTCTTGGGACGCCCTGTATAAGCGATTTATATTTACATCGTTTTAATTCAATTAACGTTGTTAATTCATTCATACTTGGTATCTTGTAAAAAAATTGATTTAATTGAGCGACGGAGATTTGAGTATTGACAGTAATAAAATAAATAAATCAGTGGCGCTACAACCTCTTTAGGTCTTGGCCTCAGATTTCTGGATCTGTTTCATGATCATTTTTAAATCTAATAGGCAAGTGGTGATCATCCTCCAATGCCTGACACACGCCGTCAACTTTTTGGGTCTAAAACATGTCGGTTTCCTCCCGATGTTTTCCTTCACCGTTCGAGCGAATGTTAAATGCGCACATAGAAAGGAAGTCCATTGGTTCACAGCCGCGGATCGAACCTACGACCTCAGATATGAGAGTCGCCTTTTCTATTTTACTAAATACATATATTTGTTTTAACAAAGTTCTATTTAGATATGTGGTCCTTGAATAAACTGAAATCAAGATTAGTGACACTTTCGTTTTCTATTTCTAGACTATTAGAATAAAATTCATAATTATATCCCAAACGCGTGTGATGCATTTGATTACATTAATGTGATGAGTGAAATATTCTAATGAATTAAACGGACGGAAAACTACAGCTAAGTTATAATTAAGAAATACCACGGGGAAAATGTTATGGGATTATCATTTATTTGGTCACCAATCGGGAAAAGGGAAAATTTGGCCGTAAAATATATAGTTAAACTAGCTGATCCGGCAAACGTCATTTTGCCATGTATATCATTTATAATAAAAAATAGGGGTTGATCGTAGAGGGGTGAAAGTTAGGGGTTGTATGTAATAAGTAAATAAGTAATTTATCTAAAAATTAAAAAAAAAATTAAGGGGTGGACTACCCTTAACATTTAGGGGGATGAAAAATAGATGTTGTCCGATTCTCAACATACACAATAACACACAAAATTTCATGAGAATCGGTCAAGCCGTTTCGGAGGAGTATGGCAACGAAAACTGTGACACGAGAATTTTATATATTAGATAAACTTTAGTACGTAGCAATAAAGACGCAATTACAATGCTCAGAAACACAAAGTGATAACGATCTCTGGACTCAAATAACACGACAAAAAAGCCTAATAAAAGTTCTGTATGTATTTTTAAATAGCAAGTAGTTTTAGATAGGGGGCCGTTCAAGTATAACGTAAGCACTATAGAGGGGGTCTTTGATTTTCTTATTTGGTGATAACGCCAACACTAATTATTTACTTTTTCACACATATTACCTACATTGTCTATGCTTGAAAACGGAATGCATTTTCGAGGATTCCTACAAAAAATTAATAAGTACTATTATTTTTGAGAGCTTTGCTTACTTTTGTCGGATTATTAACGGATTGGCGAAGAGACTTAGTTCTGCAGCCTACGCGTTAAAAAAACGCTCAAACTGATGTCGATACAGCTAGACTTGTTTATTTTAGTTACTTTCATAGCTTAATGACTTATGGCTTATTATTATGGGGTCATGCTGCTGATGTCGAAACTATTTTCATCCTGCAGAAGAGGGCTATTCGTGCAATCTATAATTTAAAATGTAGGGAATCTCTTAGAGATAAATTCAAGGAAATTAATATTGTACTTACCTTTCCCTCGCAATATATTTATGAAAATATTATGTATGTATACAAAAATAGTGATAAGTTTACTAGAATAGAACATCCACAATGTTAATACACGGAACAAACGCAGGCTGCAATTTCCCCGTACTAGACTATCTAAAGTTAGTAATTCTTTTTTTGGGGAAAGGGATACTCTTCTTTAATAAAATCCCAGAGGCTCTTTTATCACTGCCTTTCAATAAATTTAAGAAATGTATTAAAGAAAAGCTGTGTAAAAAGGCTTACTATAAAGTCAACGATTATCTAGTTGATAAAAGGGCCTGGGACTAGTGCTAGACAGGCTACTTCTAATTAATTTGCGATATTTGTTTTAAATAAGTGTTGTTTGATGATTTGCTGTTTTAAAAGAGTACCGAGAGTTTTTTACGCCGGCTTTTTCTCTCGGCCTACACCCTCTGTCTTCTTTGCCGATGAGTAGGGATGCCTACAAATTCAAATTGAATGACGTGGAATAAGTGATACATGTATCTTATGTTCCATAATAAACATATTTTATTTTTATTTTTTTATTTTTTTTTATTTTGATGGACAAGAGGAAGGGGAGGGGGGATAAATTGCAGTAAATCTGCTTACGTAATCCTTGAACGGCCCCTAGCAATGGTTTGACAGATCATATAAAAGTTACATACCTATACCTAACGGAGGAATTAGATTTGGTCGACCAAATAAATATGAGACAATTATGTTAAATTTAGGAACTATACTTTTTGAGCGGTAGCAGAAAGAAAATACAATACTTACGACTAACGTTTAGTGCATGTTGGCTGCGTCCGGTTAAGTCTTACTTTTAAGGCACAACTATTTTTATTATGGGTAGAGGCTAAGGGGCATTTTATTAAGGCGCCTGTAATCCGCGAAGCTATTAACTTATAAAAATCATTTCAAAAAACACTTACAACTATGTCACTTCGATGCGTTTACCTTGTAATTATCGTGTTTATTACTAAGAAATTACTAAAAAATACTAAAAAATTACTAAGAAGTAGCTATGATATCAAGTATGAAAAATAATCACTAAATTTGTCTATGGGAGCGTTCAAGTATTACGTAACGAATTTTATTTTCCTTTTGTAAAACGTTACGATGCGGGGCGGGGATTGAATAACGCGTTATTGTTAATATTATTTTCGACTTTACAGTTATACACCACATAATGGTAACTTTTAGGTATAAAGAGTCACTAGGTGGTCACGACTCACGAAACGTTTTACTATTGGGTACAGAAAACGTTACGGCGCGTTACATGGGGGGTCAATTATCTCCAAAAATTGCGTAACGTAATACTTGAACGCTCCCTATAGTAATGCAAAAAGTACCAGTATTTCCCAACGAGACCACTCATAAAATATTATATGTATTAATATAGAAAAATCTTTACTAAATTTCAGGTTTTCATTATATTTTGAAAATTTACATACTTATTCAACAAATTCCTAGTAATTTCTTCCTAAACCACAACATTTAAGTTTCTTACGTGAACAATTTAATTTTTAATATTCAAAATTATGTTGTTATACAAGTTTTAAGTATGCTAGGGAGCATGTCAAATAAAGGCTGTTCTATACAATAATTTTGACGTAAGTGGAGTTGATTTTGGCAACTCGTTATTTTTAGTTTTTAATTACAGAGACTGCTTATCAAATAAGAATATCGCTTCATCCTCTCAACCTCCGATGTCTGCATCTTGTGTTCCTGCAGACTTCTGTGCCTGACAAACGCACATTAACTTAAATGCGCATTAATTAACTTTTTAGTAATATATTCCTATACAAAACAACGCATCGATGACGAAGTACATGTCGACAATGCGCCAAAGTTATTGTTAACTAAAACTTAACACTAAAACGCACAACACTTTTGTCTGTCTGTCTGCATCAGTGCAGGTCCTCGTCTGTCAAAAGAACATCATGTTATAGTCTGTTATATATTATACTTTTTAAAGTTAAAATTTAATAACGAATATTTTAAGTGTCCTGTAAAATCAAAGAAAATTCCAGACGGAATTTCGTGTTCAATCAATAAAAATGTTTTTATACATTTAACGGAATAATAATGACTCATATCAAACCGCTAAATCGTAAGTGGTTTGTTCGGAGAAATAATAGTTTATTTTTTCATTTTATGGTTGTTTGTATAACACTGTTCTATCTAGTTGATTTTTTTATAGAACAGGGGGCAAACGGGCAGGAGGCTCACCTGCTGTTAAGTGATAACACCGCCCATGGACACTCTCAATGCCAGAGGGCTCGCGAGTGCGTTGCCGGCCATTTAAGAATTGGTACGCTCTTTTCTTGAAGGACCCTAAAGGTGTAGTATGTGGGTGCGTCCAATACTAGAAGAGAACGCCATGGAAAATTTCATACTTTGTGTCCCCAGCTGAGAGAAGACACTAAAATGTTTTTCAACTACTTTAGAGTGTCCGTGGTTACATTTGATGAATTAGCGATAGCGATAAAATACAACAGACAGACAAAATGAGGAAGGGATTGGTACTCAGCGGGGAGGAAGTGGTGCGCGGTCGGCAGCAACCACTTGTGGCAATCCGTGTATGGTGGGTACGCAGCTCTAAGTAGTCGACCGCACGGCGAAACTCGACTGCAGAGCGACTGCTCCGTCTGTCTTCGTCACGAACTGCTCGAGCGGTCCGTGTATTGCGGATATGAATTTAGTGTGGAAACTGCAGCCTTGCGATTTTGTAACTCACTTTTCGAACTCACACAGCGGTTTTCGAAGCGGCGGTCGCGCTCAAATCAGTCATTTTACGATTTGGCATTCTGATAAGGAGGTCGGGAGGAGAAGTCGCTAGTCGTGTCCACATGTTATAGGGACGGCACCGCTTTTTATATTTTTGTATGTATGTCAATTTATATCCTGTTTGTCCTAATTTTGTGGTCCAAATAAAAAAAAAACGAAAATCCACCCGTATCACCTCGACGTCCGTCGTTCCACTTTTCCCGCGCACCTCTGTGAGGAACCAGCTACCCACAGAAGTATTTCCGAATCAATTCGGCTTTGGGTCCTTCAAGAAAAGAGCGTACCAATTCTTAAAAGGCCGGCAACGCACTTGCGAGACCTCTGGCATTGAGAGTGTCTATGGGCGGTATCAATTAATAGCCGTTTGCTACATAATTGTGTATTATTAAAATGTGTAGTGTCAGTAAGTATGTGTCTTTGTGTGTATGTTTGTTAACTTACGGTGCTATTGCGGCGTGGTGGGCGACGAAGAGCGCGAGTGCACGGCAAGCGACTGTTGCAACGCGGCCGGCGTCAGCCATTCCCTAGCACAACACACAACTATTATATAATATAGCATTTTGAGCTATAGCGGTTAAAAAAGCAAAATAGCATATTGCGAAAAAGCTAAAAATATGAAATTTTGTTCATTTCTAAAGTTCTTTTTCATTCGGGTAACAAATGCGTTATATACGGAAAAGCATAAAAAATAAAACTACAACGTTTTTAGGTCTGGGCCTCAGATTTCTATATCTGTTTCATATTCAATCTTAATAATTGGCATGTAGGTGATCAGCCTCCTGTGCCTGACACACGCTGTTGACTTTTTGGGTCTAAGGCTGGTTTGCTTACGATGTTTTCCTTCACCCTTCGAACAAATGTCATTGAAAGAAAGTCTATTGGTGCACAGCCGGAATCGAACCTACGACCTCAGGGATGAGCCACTTGGCCAATACAGCTCTACAGAAAAGCATAGAATACGTAAAAACTAATACACAATAGCATATTTTTTAGTTACAGCTATTAATAATAATTGCGAAGCGGTTTTAGCGTTCCTACAAGATTGTTTTGTCCCATATTGTTTATGGAAGTCTATCTTGGCAGTGGTGATATGATCTTAAAAGACCCAATTTTTCTACTACACGATTAGGATCGCGATAATGTTCTTTTTTGTATATGAGGAGAAAACTTTCCAATATACAAAAAAGAAAATTAACACGGCACACAGATTTTTTAAATTATTTTTTAATTTTGTGTGCGCATTAAAGTTTCATCTTACGAATACAAACTTCTTCCAAAGTAGTTTTTTCCTTTTGAATTTTTTGTATGGTGTGGTTTTTATGTACATTATTTACATACACAAATTGACCATAAAATATACACATAGTATTCAAGCTAAGTTGTATTTATGCTATACAAATGATATATAGTTATTTACATTTAACAAAGCTTTAGTCTAACGCCATCTAGTATTAAAGTCGACGCATTTTAAACTCAGTCGTCGGGCAATAAATGTCAATGTTATCGATACTTAGGGGGGGGCTACCTGCGCACGCACTCTGACTCCTGATTGGACGAAAATAAAAACCTAACACACGATGACGTAATATAGGTGCGGCCAATACGTGTTAGAGCGGGACAGAACGCATATTGCGTCTCACATCGGTCTAGCGTGATCGGTAACGTAGCGAAGGTGCGATAGAGTGGGATAGAACGCATACTGCGTATTCACATCTCTCTGACGAGATCGGTGACGTATGAGAGTAGTGAGACAGACTATATAGGCGTGATAATCTGAATCTGGTGCTAGATTAAATTAATATCAAAGAAAAAGCTTGAATTAATATCAAAGAAAATATATAGCAAAAATAAATGATTATAATTGTATAAGTTGATAAAAAATGCTATGCAATAGCTTTACCGCGGCAGTCCCCGAGTGCCACACGTTTTTTGTTAATGTAATTAGTGGCTTAGCAATACAAATTAAAAGCTTTCATTTTCAGATAGCGAAAAATTATTTCTTTTAATACTTAACATAATTTAACATATCGATCGTACCCGTATCCCGTTATCGATATGAACCTCTACAATTCTTACGCACATCACTACTTAATATCCATACCTGTAAGTGCGAGCGAGACAGACAGATAAATATGATTTATGACCCGAAACCTCAGTTCATAATGCGACGACTGTAGTAAAAGCAATGAAAAAGCACTAACTTGGGCAAACACCTCTGTAAGAAGGGCACGCAGGAGCTGACATACGCGAGGCGATTCACCCACGACGGGATGTCTTTATCACATAAGGCCTGAAAATTAAAAAAAATAATATCACCTAACAATACTGGTTAAAGCTGGGTTAAACAAGTTTCAAATACGGGGCAATAGATGGCGTTAATATTAATATTTAGTCTATTATCATAATACTTTATATATAAAATTCTCGAGTCACAATGTTCGTTCCCATACTCCTCCGAACCGGCTCGACCGATTCTTATGAAATTTTGTATGCAAATTCAGTAAGTCTGAGAATCGGCTACTATCTAAACCCTAAGTTATAAGGGGTGTCCAACCAAAAAAAAATTTTTTAAGATACAGCATACAAAAATACATACAACCCCATAATTTTAACTTACCCTGTATGATCAACCCCTATTTTTTATTTATTAATTAAAATCTTATGACTGGAACTCAGAGGTTAAAATAGAGAAAAATCACAGAAAAACTGTCAAAAGTCTCTGGGGTAGCAAAACAAAATGTTCCATGTTGGTATGTACTAAAAAGATAGGCTAGCCAATAAGGAGAAACGAAGTTCGCGGGGGCAGCTAGTAATATTATAACTTTAGGCCGTTTATCCACTGCTCCGGTCCGGCAAACGTTAATTACCGATCCGATTTAGAAACTCACAACAGTACTTACACTACTCCGGCATTCGGTTTTTAACGATCCGATAACTTGCTAGATCGGAACGCGTTGTTTTATCGGTCCAAGTATCCAAGAGGTTATAAATTATTATTCACAGGTTTATTTATAGTTTCTTTAATTTAAAAGAATCTGAATAACCTGGACGAAACCAAATTATGGTAAATATTCATTTATATTTTTATACCATAGTATTAGTGAACTATTTATTAAGTAGATTATAATATTTTAAGATAGACAATATAAAAAAAGTAATAAACTTGCCAGGGCAATAAATATTCAGAATTTAGAACGTTTTATTAATAAAATAAAGTATATGGGTTTTAGTTAATATAGGTGTTGCATGATAAATATACAAGTATCGTTTATTGTCGGATCGGATATAGTGGAGAAGCGCAATCCGGCCTTCCAATATTTTTCTCATGACTCATTCCGGTATCCGACGCCGGACCGGAGCAGTGGAGAAAGGGCCTTAGGCTGGTTCGATATTGGTTTACTTAATATAAGAGGGTCCCAGGTGGAGTCGAAAGATATAATATACATAAACGGAGTAAGAATATCCATAGCGTTAAATAACCTGCATCGTGAGCACACCCCGCATACTCACGTACATACCACCACAGCCGAATTAGGTTTTAATCATTTTTATTGATTTTTCCTTTGGTAAATGTTCGAACCATTTCGTATATATTATTTATGCCATCTTTGGCTACATAATATTTAGTATCATAGTTTTGTTGTTAGCTGTAGGATTACGAAATAACGAAATAAAAACGGCATTACAATTATTCTAAGGAAAATTAATGTTCTATCAATGTTTTAGTGATCAGAAACTGATCCTGCATTTACTAAAATCCAGAATCAACTTTACAAGTTAGTTTTATTAATTAAATTTAGTGTAATATACTTACCAAACAAAAGGCAGATGTGAAGTGATTACAATTATTGTTCATTAGATGATACCTGAAACAAACATACATTTTAAGTTGGTTTATTTTAATAGTACTCTTTATAAATATAAATTAAAAAATATTAGTAACTAGCTAGCTGATCCCTACCCCCCGTTTTTGCCCATTTCGGGTAGTTGAATGTTTGAGAAATTCTGGGTGGATTTGAGAAAAAATAAAGTTTTAAAAAACAAAAGATAAGAACATCCTTGATCGGACTATATTCATCTAAAATTTCAGCTCGATCGTGCAGAACTTTTGAGTTTCCGAAGGTTTTCGAAGGGAAACACAAACAAATATAACATTTTCAATATATATAAATACCGAGCCTATTTTGTGTAGGATATTGTTTTACATACCTCACTATTACACTAACAGCTTGTAATTACCCACACGTCTTAAGTCGTAGCGTAGGTAATTAAGAAACAGCATATATAGAAGGCTTGGATTACCAGGAAATGTTATTATGGATCAACCAAGTGATTCATTTGTTTCGATTTGTAATAGTTTGAAAACATTTCTTAACGAATAAAAAAACGTATAACGGTACATCAATATACAGAGGCCCCTAATATACGAGTGTTTTGAGATACGAGCTGCCCCGAAAGCGATATTTTGCTTTGAGATGAGAGCAATCCCACACACTACACCACAACGCCTAAAGCCAGGTATCCACTATGTTCGGCTTCGCGACCCTTTTGCGCCCCGGGGCCCAGCAGCCCCCGCGGGGGGGGGGGAGTACGTTTGCGAACGTGGAGCGTGAACGGTGCGCAAACTACCCACTACGCATACCGGCTTAACAGTTTATCCCACCACAGACTACGACCGGTCTGTTGGCTTGTTTCCCTCGTTTTCGAAGCTAACATTTATCATCATGTTAATGGTTCGGGCGTTAATAAAATAAATAAAAGTGGCGCTAAAACCTTAAGGTTTTGATTTCTGTATTTCTTCATGATAATTTGTCAATCTAATGCATGGCATGGCAGGCATGGAGGAGATCAGCCTCCAGTCCCTGACACACGCCGACGACTTTTTGGGTCTAGGGCAAGCCGGTTCCTAACGATGCTTTCCTTCCACCTCAGCAAATGTTAAACATTGAAAGAAAGTCTATTGTACACGCGGGGAATGAACCTACGACCTCAGGGATATGGTTCGTAAGGTAAAGCCACTAGGCCAACACTGCCCGGCGGCTTTGGCGTCAATAACTAACTCCTATTTTTAACAATATCTAATACAATACACTTCGTAATAGAAATCATCTGTCACAAACACTTCCTTTTACTTTGTTTAAACTACAGTACTAACCTGTCACCCCGGAATTGTTTGCCAAGTTCAGTAACAAGCCTCCGTACTTCCTCTTCACTGAAGTTTGTATATCCTATATGTACACTTTGTCTGTAAGTTAGAATATTTATCTTCATTAATTAAACACGTTGGGGAGCGTTCAAGTATTACGTAACGAATTTGGAGGGGGGTCCTTTTGTAAAACGTTACGATGCGGGGCGGGGATTGAATTACGGCGTTATTGTTAATATTATTTTAGACTTTCCAGTACTTTTCACCACATAATGGTAACGTTTTATACATGGAAAAACGTCACGGGGGTCAATAATCTCCAAAAATTGCGTGACGTAATACTTGAACGCTCCCTTGAGCTTAAAAAAAGATTTAAAAGGCTTGCAGGCCAACAAGTTAATGGCCTGTCAGCTCATTTCAGATTATTTAAATTGTAACTAAAAAAATGGCTATCTTTAAAGTCGGTTTACGGACGATGGTTTATCGTGCCAACGTTATAACAAGGAAATGGAATGAATTACACTTTACCTGAAACGAAATTGTTCGCCCAATTCCCGCTCGTCGCGTGGTGTTATCTCAAACACGCCGGTGAACGCGTAAGGATGGCCCCCATACGCCCATTCCGACCCGTGTACTTGGACCCCACTGTGAAATACACCCACCCCGGCACCGGCTGTATACCTGCATACACAATAATCTCTAATCAAAAAATCATATCATCATTGCGAATCTAAACCATCCAGGGCGTCACCCAAACGCATACAAACAATTCATGCAAATCGGTGCAGCCGTTTAAGAGGAGTTCAGTGTCATACACACGTACAGTAGAATTATATATATAAAGATCTAAATAAATGAAAAATTTTTTCATTATTTTATTTTTTTCCATATTTTTATTATTCTTCTTTTTAACTTCCCAAGAAAATTAAATATTTCGAAAATGAGTTTTTAACAGATGTTGAGTAGAGGTTCTAGGAACCCCCCCCAATTTTTCCCCCGGGGGTCCCCCCAGATTTCCACAAAAATAAGGAACGTTGATTTATAAATCCAAAACGGAAAAATTTCGGTGGTTTGGGGCCTCAACAGACCTTCCTTTTATAAGATGACGCGTAGCAAATTATAATTATATTATTTATTCGCCTAGACTAGTGTTTTCCAACCTTTTTTGGGCGTATGCCCCACCTTAGCCTTCCTAAAATTCTTATGCCCCCGCAACACACATACATAATTATTAATATTTAAAAAATATTTGTTCAACAAGTTACTGGAAAATTATTAACGAAACACAGTAAGTAAATTTTCAAAAAATTATAAAAAACTCAAATTAAAATTCCAAATAATTTGAATAAATTTTCAAATAGCTCCCTAACATTCAATTTGCCCCCATGTGGGGTGTGGGTCCCACGTTCGAAACCCTGGCCTTGACTCTTTTCGCATAGACTATTATGTTGTATGCATTTTAGGCTATTTACTAGCGATGCAATACGACAAATACGATATATTTGAAGCTGCTAAGCAATTAAAGACCTCTACAGTCGCCTCAGAAAGATTATTTTCCGATGGGAATGTACAAACAGAAAAAAGAAATCGCCTAATGCCTGAGAAGATACAAATGTTTTAAACAAATATTTATCAGTGTCAATTATTAAATATCTTAGCAAAAATAAGTGTGTATCTATTATTTATTGCGTTTTTGAATATAGTAGTATTCTTTGCATTACTAATATTTACTACCATAAATCATAGGTTTGATTTCCGACGAAACACATTATATTGGTAGGCACAATTTACTCTTGATAAAATCAATTAACTTATAAATGTGATTACCCCTCACCACTGTTAAGAGGTAGCGATACTTCAGACTTAACTAAATTTCAAAACTGTAAACATATATATTATATTGTTTTATGTAATAGGAGGCAAACCGGCAGGAGGCTTATCCGATGTTACGTGATACCGCTGCCCATGGACACATTGCCAGTAGGCTCGCAAATGCGTTGCCGGCCTTTTAAGAATTGGTACGTTCTTTTCTTGAATTGGTTCTAAAATACTTCAGTCGGCAAAAACTGCCTTAAGAAACGCTCAGTTGTGGAACGACGGTGATACGGATGGAATTTTGTATTCTGCCTTGATGATGAAACTGCAGGTATTAGTCCGAACAACTCCTCTGAACACTCTCCATGGCAAATGCGGTATCTAGATGTTATAATAATTCAAACCAATATGTTAAAATAAATTCAATTTCGTTGAAGAGAAAACTCACCAGTTCGTCCAATACATATCGTATACATTGAGGACCACGGGCGTTTGTCCCGGTCTTGGGGGCCGAGGCTCATTGCGTCTTGGCAGTATCGACATGCACGACGGAAACATCGTGCAAATGCCGCAAGACTGAAAACGGAAAGTTCATTACAGATTCGTTAGAGGGCATTGTAGTCAATTATAAACGAAATATTTTAATTAATTAATAATTTTGTGAATTATTTTATTAATAATTGAATTCCAGAAAGAAATTAATAAGCACTACTAGAGTTCAACATTTAATATTTAAAATCAAGGATATCCTCAATTGTGAATATCTCAAATTAGCTGTTGTACATGCAGCTGCACGGGAAAATATAGTATCATTCATAATAATAATATAGCATTTTACTATATAAGAATTTTCAAAATCATTTCAGTAGTTATAGATATAATTTCCCATACGTTACGTGATTTTAAAACATTTGTTTAATGCATTGATAATAAGAACAGCACATTCTATAGACAATGCACAGACTACAAATACTTAAACCCGCGTTCCAATTTTAAAATATTTAATTACACGATGTACACTACTCTGTACATTAAAAGCCTCGCTCAATCACCAGTACTAACTACCATGCAAGTGCACTTCTACTTACATGCAAAGTATAATGTGCAAGTCTTTATCTACAATACATTTCATTTAGTCTTTCAATATCCAATCGTATCCACTGTCCAATTTATAAATTGATCAGTAAATACAGTTAGTAAGGATCTAGTACATTCTTTACTATATATCCAAGAGACAAAATCAGTTTTTAATGGGAATTTAAATTAGCTTTACGTTCAAGTATTACGTCACGCAATTTATGGAGATTATTGACACACCCATCCAACCAACCCCCCCCCCTAACGTTTTTCTGTACCCAATAGTAAAACGTTTCGTGACCCACCCACCCAGTGACTCTTTATACCTAAAAGTTACCATTATGTAGTGTAAAGTACTGGAAAGTCGAAAATAGTATCAATCTCCGCCCCGCATCGTAACGTTTTACAAAAGGACCCCCCTCACAATTTGTTACGTAATACTTGAAAGCTCTCTTAGTCACGTGACCATTTTCATACAAATTCCTTCAGCGTTAGTGGGTCACGCCTGACGAAAAGTGATTTTGTCTCAAGCCTCAGTTCAGCTGTCGCTAACTACTGATTATTAATTTGTCTGGCTTTAAATATCATCGATCGGACATTACAGGTACAGGTACTATTCCCAACCAACCGTAAATCTCGCATCTATTCCTTTCTATTCAGTTTCACCCAAATAAACTCAGACGTAGCATGAAGTTCTAAGCTTCCTTCGTCCTTTAAAAAAATACAATGTACCACTGAAAGAATTTTTAAATTTGAACTCAATTTTTTGAGGGTATTTGAACAAACTGAGGGTAGCTTTCAAAACGAAAAAAATAATATAGATTTTCCCATTTTTGCAACATTTTTGTTTGATCTTCGTCTCCTAATGATTGAATCATATTATCGCCTATTTCACACGCTGATATTGTAGATTTATATTGGTGAATTTACAAATGCTTCAATAGTTTTGGCGTTTATAAACAAACCTTTCATCATGTTTCATACAGTAAATGTCAAACAGTTTTAGTATCAATCGTTATAATTTTTTATAACATCGAAAAACCATTATTATCTTAGCATGTAATACGCATTCTTCGTTTTTATACACTTATATGTACACTGTAATCTAATCTTTTATCAAAAAGCTATGTGCAAGATTAGGTTATACTATATCGTTATATGAAGCGGTATTATTTATACAGGCTTATAAAAATATCTGGTTATAATCAAGTAGCTATGTCTAATTAATTTGAAATGTGGCAAATTTGAACTACCACGTACAACTACCATAGTATATATATATACTAGTAGACTTGGCCAAGCGTTGCTGTGGCTAAGGTTTTTGTTATATTACATAGTAGTAAACTATTAAAGGGAAACGGTAGGAGAACTTATGTGAAAGGTACATACTACATAGCTTATGTGAAACCTTGGTACTTTTAACACAGCGCCACCTGTTAGAATTGTATCAAATAATAAACAAATATTTGCAATAAAATAATATTGCGGGTATAAATTGAGATGTAAGCTATCCTATCTTTTAAGTTGGATCAAACTGCACACGGTGTGCAAATTTAATTTAAAATCGGTTTAGTAGTTTAGGAGTCCATCGCGGACAAACAACGTGACACGTGATTTATATATATTAAGTTATATAGTTCGCAAGTGTATGTTTGTCCACAAATCACTTACCACTCCAGACTTAAGGAACAGTCGAAATAACACTCAAATCAATTAGGTTTTTAGTATTGGTATAAACGTTGACACTTGACAGGTAGAAGTTCGTTTAATTCTTTAAGTTACTTTTTAAATAATTATGTTAACAGATTATGAAAACGTGTCCAATTCACTTGCGTCCAACATTCAACAAAAAAAAAAAGAATTTTCAAATGTCATAGAATCAACTGCATACTTTAAATATTTTATGAAACCCCCACGTTACATTGTTATCACACATCGTTACGTCATACTGATAAAGTGGAACGTGCGATCAGCGTCAAGTGTCATAGCTTTGCTGTTAATACCGGAGCTTTTTTCATTGTGTTATCATAAGTACGAAGAAATCAATGAATATAAATATTCAATACGAAATACAAAGAATTGTATTAAAATTTATTTCGTTTGCATTTCACTGAATTCCACATTTCACAATTAAGCTTTCCAACAGTTAAAAACTATAATGGAACTGGAACGGATCTTGGGATTTTTCAATGAGCAATAGGTTTAAAATAATTAAAACGGTTTATGCTAAGACATTATAAAACGACTCCAGTATAACCGTTTGTGGCTCCAAAATTTTTTGAAAATATAGAAAAACTAGCTGACCCGACAAACATTTGTTTTGCCATGTGTTAGTTCTAGGTAAATTTTTTTTTGGTTCAATAAAAATAACTATTTACGATAATAAAAATAGGGGTTGGTCGTAGAGGGGTGAAAATTAAGGGTTGTATGTATTTTTGTATGCTGTGTCCTAAAAAAATAAAACAATTTTTTTTATCTAAAATTTAGGGTTGGACCACCCTTAATATTTAGGGGTTTGATAGATAGATAGGCGATTCTCAGACTTACTGGATATGCATTAAAAAATTCATAAGAGTCGGTCGAGCCGTTTCGGAGGAGTATGGGAACGAACATTGTGACACGAGAATTTTAAATATATAAGATTGTATGTACTTAAGTGACTTAAATTAAAGGTTTTAAGAAGAAATAACTAGGAAATTGTTAACGAAACACAGTAAGTAAATTTACAATACATAATAAAAAAAACTGAAATTCAAACTTCTAGGTATATTAATTAATTTTCGAACAATCAAATTGTCTCCCTGTGGGCGTGGGCCTAGTTGGGAAAACTGAATTAGACTATAAAGACGATCCAATATTTCACATTCATAATTAATGTCTGATTGAATTTGCTTTTCTTTATTTGGGTACGCTAATTAATATTTTGTATGTATTTGAAGTTGTTATTAAATTATACATACGCCTAAACGTTAAAAAACTTTTAAAACACAATATAATAGTGATTATTGGCCGTGAGAATATTTTTTTAATATAAACTAATTTATCTAAACTAGGTATCTTTCATTAATAACGGCTTTGTTATTCTACGTTTATATTAAATATATATTATTATGATCGATGCATCTTAGAATTTATTTTAAACATTAGTGGAAACTAAAAAGCCTTACTAATACCGGAAAACTCCCTATAACTTAAAAAAATGGTTTAAATTTATTTGGTTTAACACAATAACCATACATTAATTATTCCCCTCTTATTACGAATAAAAATGCTCGGTCCCTTGAAATTCGTTATAAAGTGTTTTTTGTTTTATTTTGTTGTATAAATTGTTAACTGTGCTTTATGTTTATAGATTCCGTTTTTGGTTTTTGTATATAATGTAATTGTTTAGTGAGTATCTGTAGTAATATTGAGCAAATAAATAAATAAAAATCTCCACTGTACTACGAAAATCTTACTTTCATTTTCTAGTTATGCCTAATGGCCCATTGTCCCATTGCCCTTTATAGCCTAATAAATAGCCGACAATATTCGCGATAAATGGGTCTACAGTGTGATTTATATCCAATTTTGGCAAATACCGATTTCATTTAGGTCAAGTAAGAGGGAACGTCTCTAAATCTTCAACGAGCACTTTTTCATACAGCAAAAAACGTTATATGAACAACGAAATCTGTTCTTAACCATTTTCAAAAAGGAGGTCAATACCATATAGCACCTATAAACGTTCTTGCAACCTAAAATAATGTTATAATATTTATTGTAGATACAAGTTATTGCAAGAATTATTTATTAAATTAAGTTTTTAATTACTACGCGAAATTTACACTAGCTGGGGGCCTTTTTCAAGTATTACGTAAGCAGATTTACTGCAATCCCCCCCCCCCTTACCTCTTGTCAGCAAAAGTAAGCAAAGCTCTCAAAATTAATAGTACATATATGTATTAATTTTTTTTGTTGGAATCCTCAAAAATGCATTTAGTTTTCAAGCATAGACAATGTGTGGGCAATATGTGTAAAAAAGTAAATAATTGCTGTTGACGTAATCATTAAATAAGAATATCAAAGACAAATATACGTAGTTGGTCCCAAAGTTCTGTCACTAGCACATTATTTCTACATTTCGAGCAGGATTTTATAAAAAAAATATTGCATTCTATTTTGGAATGTTTGATTATTGTTTTAAAACAAAAAACAATAACTTTCCGTAATTTTTCACGATGGAGTGGACATTGAAAGTAAACCGAATAGTTGTTATTGCGTTGCACCGCTGTGGACACTCGCCGAGTACCATTTTCAAGTTGCTCAAAAATTTGAATATAACGCTTAGGTTTGTGTACGGTACTATTGATAGGTACCTTGAAGTCTCCAGTATTGAGGACAAGAAAAGAACTGGCTGGCCACGCTCCGCAAGAACACCAGCAGTAATCAAAGCTATCAAGGCGCGGATAGTAAGAAATCCTGTCCGAAAACAGAAGTTGATGGATTTGCAGATGGGTGTCAGTAGGAAAACAGTAAAAAAGGTTTTAAATGAAGATCTTGGTCTACGAGCATACAAAAAAGAGTGGGCACTTACTTAATGCTCGTCTAAAAGCAATAAGGCTTAAGAGATCGCGGGTGTTGTTTAAGCGGTACGCGAAAAACCGACACCGTGATATCCTCTTTACGGACGAAAAATTTTTCGATATTGAAGAGAAGTACAATAAACAGAATTATACAGTGTACGCTAAGAGTTCTGAAGAAGCTGAAAATAAAGTTCCAAGGGTGCAACATGGACATCATCCATCATCAGTAATGGTTTGGTTGGGAGTGTCCTATTTCGGGCTAACTGAGGTTAATTTTTTCGAAAAGGGGGTCAAAACCAGTGCTACAGTGTACCAAGAGACGGTTTTGTATCGCTTTGTCAAAGACATGTCCAGCACCCTATTTGCGGGACATCACTTCGTGTTCCAGCAGGACTCTGCGTCTGCATACAAAGCCAAGACCACTAAAGCCTGGTTTGAGCGTCAAAACATCGTCTTAATTAGACATGAGGATTGGCCTTCCTCCAGTCCGGACCTTAATCCTTTGGACCAGAAATTATGACAGGGCTTAGAGAGGAAGGTCTGTGATAAACCTCATGAAAATTTGGAGAATCTGAAGTCATCTTTAAAAAAACCAGTGACTGAAATGGACACGAATATGGTGCGTGCTGCGATAGACGACTGGCCGCGACGCTTAAGGGCCTGTACTAAAAATGAGGGAGGTTATTTCGAATATTTTTATGCTTTTTTATTCCTTAATTAATTTACTAAGAATTGATATATCACTCATTACAAACTGATCAGTACTTTTGTTTTTATCATTATTTCCATTTATGACAGAACTTTGGGACCGACTACGTATATAGTGCTTACGTAATAACGGCCCCCTGACACCTAACACAGAATAATAATATTTTTAATAATTACGTTAAAAATCAATACAACAAACAGCCATTGTCCGCTATATAGTTAGAACCGGTGACACTCTTCGCTTTATCACCGGCTATAAACAACACCAAATCAGCGATATCTTCTGGTTCACCCCAGCAGTTTAAAGCTGTCGGAATTCCTATTTCTTCATACGGAACATTGAATCCAGCCAATGCAAAAATTTCAGTTTTAACTGGCCCCGGGCTAACGGAATTTATACGCACACCATGCTTCCCCAGTTCCAGAGCAGCGCCTCTACTAAAGGTATTCAATGCAGCCTTCAGCATACTATACGCCGTGTATTCAGACGTTAAAACCTTCGTTGCTGCAACGCTCGATATGTTCACCACATTACCTTTACTAGCAATCAGGTGTGGAGTCGCCGATTCAGTCAACGTAACAATGGGACGCAGATTCGTAGCCAAAATTTCTTCAAACGCATTAACGAAGGATCCGGCTTCAAGGCTACACCTCCTTAGTATACCAGCATTGTTTACCAGTACATCTAATTTACCAAACTTCTCAATTGTTTCCGGGATTATTTTTGCAAGATCTGCGCCATTTGACACGTCCGCTTTGAGAATAAGAGCCGTCGAACCAGATGCTTTACATTCATCTGCAACTCTCTTTAGATTCACTTCATTCCTCCCAACTAAAACGACGCTTGCGCCTTCTTTTGCAAATGCAACTGCTATAGCGGCCCCAATACCTGCGCTTGCTCCGGTTACAATGATAACTTTGTTTTTGAAACTCATCTTAATAACTCAAAGTCTTAATTTTAACTGTCTAAATAAAACACAGCATCGCTCTTATATAGTGGATATGTAAATATAATTTATTGGCAAAAAAATTTACTATTATTCAACGTGAATCTCAAACCAGAAGGAATGAATATTTATAGATACGTGATTATCTTGGTTGGAACGTGTTTTGTAGAAGTGTCCGTAATCAAATAGAAAAAATAAGGCGTTGTATGATAATTATATCATTTATATACATTGTGCATACTAAAATCATTACGCTACATATTAAAAGTTGCCTTGTATGAATTTGATTGTGGTGTAAACAATGTAACCTCATACAAATTGACCCTAAAGTTAATAAATGATATAAACTTGTGTTTACGTTGCAAAATTTTCCAGTAAATATTGAAGGTATAAAAAAATTGCAACAAATAGAAACACATTTTTCTTCTACAATTTCGCCTAAATGTTGTAACAATTTTCGACTCAAGACAGAATTAATAATATTCAAATGGTTGTGTGCTTCGCAAACACAAATTATTATGTCTGTGTATATAAATTATTAATTCACACTATAGTGACGGTGTTTAGGACTCAATATATCCAAAAAAATAGTAAATATTAATAACATTAAAAGTTACTTATATTAGTTAACATTAAAATATAATATTACTAGCGGACCCCACAGACGTCGTCGTCGACGATATTAAACAAAGTATGAAAGTAGTGCAGCGCCACCTGCCGGGCTGATTTGTGAATCTAAACCATCCAGGGCGCCATCCAAACGCATACAAAAAAATCATTCAAATCGGTCCAGCCGTTTAAGAGGAGTACAGTGACATACACACGTACAGTATAATTAAATATATGTAAGCTATCCTATCTTTAAAGTTAGATCAAACTGCACACGGTGTGCAAATATGATTGAAATCGGTTAAGTAGTTTAGGAGTCCATAGCGGACAAACAACGTGACGCTTAATTTATATATATTAAGATTAATAATAGGTACTCAACTTAAAATAAGCCTTATCTTAATATTAATCAAGAACGAAGTATTGAACGCGTTCATTTATAACATCCCCTCAAAGTTGCGAATCCCCTTCAAGCCTTAAAAGGGTATAAAAGTAATAACAGCTTAGACCTTAGAGAAAAGTATTATCTGTGAATTTAAAATTTCCAGTTTACACAAAACAAATGATCAGAAAAACATTGCAGCTGTTAAAGATCTCGCATTCAAGTGTCATAAGCGCAAAATGTAAATGACGATTTCAACTATGTATCGCGCGGGCATTGAAACATTGCCAAGATCGTCAAAAAGGGCATCGTCGAAGTGAAATGGCGACCTCAAAGGTATAAAGATTTTAACAGAGAGCACTCGAAAGTAGAAGGGCCCCCTCTAGACTTTAAAATGTACTGTTTCTAAGTCTACAGGGTCTGGCATATTAATTAGCCGATTTTCATATCAACAGTAAAAATAAAATCTTCTATAAATGTAAAAACAAGTTTAATGTTGAATGTGATACTGGCGATATCGCTGTTTAAAATTCGCTTCCTCCGGCTTTCTTAGTTTTATAAGGTGGCGATTTCCTAAACTATCGGGTGAGGCCACTCTCTTCAATTGTTACATTGCATTCATTCGTTAAATAGCAATTAACATTTCATTATTTTGCTTATATTCTAAAATTCGCTGTTTAAAAAGCGAGTCTACTCCTCCCTAAAAGGCCGGCAACGCACCCACTAAAAGTGGGTATGTATGGGCTGCGTAGACTGCCCTTTTTGGTCGTCCCGCAAGCTCGTTTGCCCCCCTATTATTTAAAAAAAAATGTTTTACGCTATAGTATATAGAGTAAAACTAAAATCCTCTATTATTTAACGCACCCCGATGACCCAGGAACTGTACCTACGGTTTCATCAAAGTACACGTACAACATATGTAGTTAATAATAATAATAATGACAGGTTCGAAGTCGGTTTATTATTATCTTTCATAATAATAATGCTCTAACATGACTAACTAATAGCCTCTGTTTAAATTATCTACACATTTAAAGATATATTTGCGACAGGTTTGGCATGACTAAAGTGACCATTTATTCTTTGACTCAAAACGGGACATTGGTTTAATTTAGGTAAAATAATAATTGGAAAAAAAAACTTTTTAAAGTTATTTATTTAGAAAAAGTTAGTTGGCTTAAAAGTAACGAATTACAAAACATAGGTAGGTACCAAAAATGTTTAGTAATATTTATATTTATCAGAAGAACAAATTTGTTTTAATATTGGTAACGATTTCAAATAAGAATAAAACTCTTGGCAGAATTTTTTAATATTCTGCTCAAATTTTCGCGCGCTTTCTGTAAACGGGACAATTTTGAGTCCCACATTTCATTTCGGAGACACCGGGACTCGTAATTGGTAAAAGGGACAGTCCCATTCATAACGGGACATCTGGTCACGTTAGGCATGATTAAGAGGAGAATGTACGACGTTTTTATTGTTTATCAGTATTCAAACTAGGGATGGTCGTTGTTAGAAAAACATCGGTATTGCCATCGTTGTCATAATCGAAAGCCCAACATCGATTTTCGATATTTATCGAAAACCAAACATCGTTGGATGACATCGATGATTTTTGCATTAATAATTGACAAAAAAATTAAATAAAGAAATGGTTCGATATTTATTATCAACTGACTGAATGAAAAGTAATTTTGATAAAGAACCTTTAATATATTTATTTGTTGATAAAGAGTAGTGAGTAAGTGTGAGAGAAAAAGAGCGAGCGAGACTACAAAGAATGAATACGCGTTCAAAATTTTAATAAACCTGATTTGTGGATGCGTTCATAGAAGATAATGTAATTTGTTTCGTAAGTTGCATTGGTCGTGCGGGAGGCCGTGAGTTGGAGTACCAAAAATATCGTAACATCGATGTTAACTGAATCGAACATCGATGTTACGATATTTTTGGTATAGCAACATCGATGTTTTTGCTTTCAACATCGATGATCATCGAGCATCCCTAATTCAAACTTGTTAGTAGTTCAAGATAAGATAAGTTAGAATGTCTGTGAGTAAACTTTTGAAACATTTTAGGCGTTAAAATCTGAATATATTTCGTCCGTTTCAGTCATATTCTTAAGGATTTCCTTTAAATTTTGTTTAAAAAAAGGATTAATTAATCTACTATGTAATTCATAGAAAATACTTATACAACATAATATAAGTTAATTACACTGTTTGTTCCCACCCTGATTGATCCCTTCTTAAACCGTTACTTACTAGCTTAATTATAATTCAAAATGAATTGCAAATTAAATTATGAAAATATATTAAAAATAAAGAGTGCGTGTACTTATGTACGCGCGTAAGAAGTTATACTTCTTTGGCTTTCTTTATTTTTTTTAAATATTTAACGTTAATAATTTAATAATATTTAGTATATTATTCAATTATTAATTAATATTAATAATAATTATTATTATTATTTATTATTTTATTATATTATTACTAGGTATGTTTCATAACCTTTTAACTAAGTAACAATAGGTCTTTGTGAAAAAGCATTGCTAAATTTCTTTGAAAAAATAATTAAAACTCCTTTATTTGTTTAAAAGGTACTTACCCCCCCCCCCCCCCCCCCCCCTTTTTTTTTTAAAAAAAAAACCCCCCCCCCCCCAAAAAGGGGGCCCCGGGGGCCCCCAAAATCCCCCCCCCCCCCCCCCGCCGAAAAAAAACCCTCCCTCCCCCCCCCCCCCCCCTCCCCCCCCCCCCCCCCCCCACCCCAACACCCCCCCCCCCCCCCCCCCCCCCCATCCCCCCCCCCGCGGGCCAAAACCCAAGCGGGGGGCCCCCCCCCCCCCCCCCCCCCCCCCCCCCCCCCCCCCAAAAAAACCCCCCCCCCCCCCAAAAATTTACCCCCACCCCCACCCTTTTTTTTTTTCCCCCCCCCCCCCCCTATTTTATTTTTTTTTTTTTTTATTTTTTTCCCATTTCCCCCCCCCCCCCCCCCCCCCCCCCCCCCCCCCCAGAACAAAAAAAACCCCCCCCCCCCTCCTCCCTTTCCCTCCCTTTCCCCCCCCCCCCCCCTTCCCCCCCCCCCCCCCTTCATTCTCACCAAAAAAAAAATTATTATAAAAAAAATAAAATTCCCCCAATTTCCTGACCTCCCCCCCCCCCCCCCCCCCATATCGGGGGGGGGGTTTTCCCCCCTCTTTTTTTTTTTTTTTTCCCCCAAAACAAAAAAAAAAAAACAAAAAAACCCCCCCCCCCCCCCCCCCCCCCCTTTCCCCCCCCCCCCCCCAAAACCCCCCCCCCCCCCTGGGGGGCCCCCCCCCCCCACCCCTACCCCCCCCCCTCCCCCATTCCCCCCCCCCCCCCCAAAAATTTTTTCCCCCCCCCCCCCCCCCCCCCCAGGGGGGGGAAAAAAAAATTTTTCCAAAAAAAAAATATTTTATCCCCCCCCCCCCCCACCCCTGGGGACAGGGGGGGAAAGCCCCCCAAACCCCCCCAAAGGGGGTCTCCCCCTTAAATTTTTTTTTTTTTTTTCTAATATTTCTTCCCCCCCCCCCCCCCCAATTCCTCCCCCCCCCCCCCCCCCCCCCCCCCCCCAACCCCCCCCCCCCCCCCCAAAAACCCCCCCCCCCCCATTTCCCCCCCCCCAAAAAAACCCAAACCCCACCCCCCCCCCCCTCTAAAAAGCCCCTCCGGGGGGGTTTTCTTTCCAAATAATTTTTTATTTTTTTTTAATTTTTTTTTTTCCCCTTTCCCCCCCTTTCCCCCCCCCATTATTCTTTTTTTCCTTTTTTTTTTTTTTTCCTCCTCCCCCCCCCCCCCCTTTTTTTTTTTTTTTTTTCTCTTTTTTTTTCCCCCCCCCCCCCCCCCCCCCCCCACCCCCCAAAAAAAAATCCAAAAACCCTCTAATCAAAAAAAAAAACCCCCCAACAAAAAACCCCCCCCCCCCCCCCCCCCCCCCCCCCCTTTCTCCCCCCCCCCCCCCCCCCCCCCCTCTCCCCCTCTCCTTTTGGGGGGGGGGGGGAGGGAAAAACCCTTTTTTTCCCCCTTTTTTTTTTTTTTAAACTTTAAAAAAACTTTCTCACCCCCTTTCTCCCCCCCCCAAAAAAAACCCCCCCAAAAAAACCCCCCCCCCCAAAAAAAAACCCCCCCCCCCCCCCCCCCCCCCCCCCCAAAAAACCCCCCCCCTAAAAAAAATTTTCCCTTTTTTCTAAACCCCCCAAAATTTTTTTTTTTTTTTTTTCCCCCCCCCCCCCCCCCCCCCCCCCCCTCCCCCCCCTACCCCCCCCCCCCCCCCCCCCCCCCCCCCCCCCAAAAAACCCCCCCCCCAAAAAAAATAAAAAAATCTTCCAAACCAAACAAAAAAAAAAAAAAAACACAAAAAAAAAAAAAAAACCCCCCCCCCCCCCCCCCCCCCCTCAAAAAAAAAAACCCCCCCCCCCCCCCCCCCCCCCCCCCCCCCCCCCCCCTTCCCCCCCTTTTTTTTTTTTTTTCCAAACACAAAAAAAAAACCCCCCAAAAAAAAATTAAAAAAAACCCCCCCACACCCCACAAAAAACAAACCCCACCCCCCCCCACCCCCCCCCCCCCCCACCACCCAAAAAACACGGCGGGTTATTTCAAATTTATTTTTATTTATATCCTTCTCCCCTTTATTTAATTTAAAATTTTTTTTTTTTATTTTTTTTTTTTTTTAAAAGGTCATTATGGTCATTCTGATAATTTTGTGTCACGGTGCTCGCGCATCGTAAAATTTCACTCTCATCAAATTTTTTATAACGTGCCTAAAGAAGTATAACTTCAAAAACGTGTTAAAATCAATTATCGGTTAGGAAATTAGTAAAATTTGACAGGGCATTCAGAAATACTGTGCGTAATTTTGACGAATCGTAAGTAGATCTCAAAAAAATCTGTATCAACAATTACAACCCGTGTTTCGAATATTGAATTCTTACTTTGCTTCGTATACTATAAACCGCATTTTTTTACGTGGTATAAGAATTATGGATAGAACTAGCCAATGGCTAAACGATGGAAGAAGGCTATTTAAATTTAATTTAATTAAAAAAATTAAACGTTGCCATTGTTGCCCCATAAAAACGTGTAAACACAATGGCCTAGTCGTTATAACAGACGACCTTTAAATTAATTATAAGTCTAAGGTCTTCTAGCTTCTTGCCCTTGAAGAACTACCTACAACTATGCCTCGAAGGACTTCCAATGCCACATTAAAGTAATTATTTAAGTTTATTATTAAACAAAAATAAGCTATGAGTAGAGGAGCCGTTGGAGCATTGAGGATGTTATTCTGTGCTGCGGGACTTTAAGATGAAACACACTGGAATATCATGAATGTATTAAGGAAGCATATAATTTAAATATATTTTGAATTCCGGGAAGAATCAGTCAAGCATTCTGCGAACATTATTTAAATATCTTAAATTACAGCATCAAATTTATTAATAACGACAAAAGTTGACGTAACAGTTAATCATATTTATATAGCTATTATCTAAGAATATAACTAATTCTTGATGTGATATATTAATACATAAAAATATATGAAAATTCTTTTGCTTAATTTATTCATAGACCCGTCTTTATTTACCTTTTTTGGAAGTCGAGTGACATAAATCTTCTTTTTCATACTAATTATTCAAAACTGCGAGTTAATGACGTTAACGCAAACTCTAGCAATCACACAATACAATAGAACCATTCATTAAAACATTTCAAACTAATGTAAAATAAGAGCTACACAGGCCACTGGCTTTTTTCTTTTAATGACCATAGATAAGATAGGTTTATAGGGATGTCAATTATCTAGTTTATTATCTCGTTTTTAATCTGTTTTAATCAGAAAATGGCTTAAATTATCTCATGCGTTAATAACCTTACCACTATCGTTTACATTTTATGCTTGATGTTTGCATTGTTTGCAGGAGATAATAAATTATAGTCTAATGACCTACTGATATTATCTTAATTAATTTTAACTTCCTTATGCTTTCTAGGTGTCTTTCTTTTATATATTTATTTATATACACATAACAAAATGACAAACCAATATTTACATGCAGTGCTGTATAACATTCTTGTAAGACTACTATGAATTGTGACACAACTAGCCAATTATTATATCAATTACCACAAACTACAAGTAAAATTACATGTATGAGCAGCAGGATGGTGAACTTTTATTGTAGAAAACATTTCAAACTATAACTATTTTTTCAATAGAAAGTAAGAACTTATAATTTTGATGCGAAACCTAAGTCAATGGAGTGGAGACAAAATGGAGTTTAGACAATTTCCTTTTCAATGTTTTATCACAGGGTTATACCACAAAATTCACCTTCCCTTTAAGATAAGTCATGGCTGAATACTTTAAAAGCAAAACATTTTTACAGATAAATTAGACATCAAATATATTTGGCAAGTGATCAACCATTTAAATGCATTCTATGTTACTCTTACTAAATTCAAATTATCGTGAGGATCCTCAGGTAAGACAATCGGACCCTTAATCAAGGGATCTCTGTCATTTGCAGTACGATCTCGAGTCTCACTCTCAGAGTGGTGACGTACATCACATTTCTTCATTTCTACACATACTTCTTAGGTCTTGTACTGTGAATGTGTTTTTAATTTTACTGAAGAATAAGATTATTTTCATGTCTGTTTGAGTCCTCTACGTATTTTCATTTGTGTTACACTTTTACCATTTAGAGAAATCTATTTTGTTGTAATAACAACATTATCTAGTATAATAACAAGATTGTAAGAAAATACCAGTCATGAAACCTGGATCTTTTTCAAACATTATTTTTTTTAAACTAAGTGAATAAAAAGATGTTACCTCATCTTCACTATCATTTCTCAATAATGGTGTTGTTTCCATATGTGCGATATTCCACTAAATTATAGAAAACCACTGAACGTAAACACTCACTACCAACTGAATAATTCAATATTTTATCAATTCTAATTAATACTATTATCAGGCAGAAGGAAAATGTATTGTATGCAAATCGTATAACTGCCCATTAACCGAAATAATAACAATATGGTAACGCATAACCGAGCATGTGACTCAAACTGTTGTATTCGATATATAAAAAATTCAAAAGGATTCATTCACTCACCACAGTGTGTTGCTTTGTGAAATGGCACTTTGAACTTTCTCTTGGGGTAACTGCACGCTATTTGTTATCCTTTGGCATAGTCGACATTAATAACAAGAAATCTTATAAATTTTGGTGTAAAAATATGATCAAAATATTTACGGATTTAAAAAAACTTTAAATTATTTTCTGTACTTTATTAATCGCAGATAATTTTTGTCTTTTTCTAAATATGTAATATATTACATTTTTTTTACTTCTGACATTGACAGTGACAAATTTGAAATTTGGCTCTACTGAGTAAAAATAACAGAAAACTTTAAACTCGAATATTATTTACTTCAATCAAAATTCCGGAACCCTCTTATTAGGTTATAGTTTTATCTGTTATGAAGTTCATAAAACAGATTTATTCATAATTTATAATTAATACTGTTTTGCAACATTAGTTTCACCATTGATTCTCCTACATCTGACATAATATTAGTTGACTAACACTAATGTCAAAGCTGTCTACAGTCAAAATGTCAACGATTACACGTCAGCTCCATCAAAAGTCAAAACGTCCCCAAGAAAATAAATCACAAGTTGGGATTAAATTATTTTGATTTTTGAGTCCATAAAAATAAATATTAGCTTGTACAAAAGATATTTTTTGAAAATGGTAAGAATTCTGATTCAGTGCCCTCTTTTTACAATTACAATCCATATATTATGCATTCCAATGTTAATAAATGCAATCAATGTTTTTATAGGTGCTTATCGCGGCTACGGTATGCACGAAATCAGGGAAAGGTAAATTTTGTTGAGAATTGTTTAGTATTAGTAGGTCTAAATACTGGGTATAAAACGCTCACTACATGTAAATTCCATTTTATAGCTTTGGTGTCTCGTCAATTCGTGGAGATGACCAAGGCTCGTATAGAAGGGTTGCTAGCTGCCTTTCCTAAGCTAATGACCGGTGGCAGACAGCACACATTTGTAGAAACAGAATCTGTAAGGTAGTAGTACTTTAACATATTAAATAAATATATAAACCTTCCTACTATTGACATTGAAAATATTTGATGTAAATTAATGATTAAATATGTATTGAACTTGCTTTAAACTAATTAAAAATATTATTAATTTTTTTTAAAGATATGTGTATCAGCCATTGGATAAGTTATACATGTTGTTAATCACAACTAAAGCAAGTAACATTCTTGAAGATTTGGAAACCCTTCGGCTGTTCAGCAGAGTGGTAATATTCTTTCTAAAAATGTATATATTTTTTTTAATCTTCTAAAACTAGCCTCACAAGGCATAAATATAAGAGTATTTTCCCCTTAGATATACTATAAATGATTATAGTGTAGGAAATGATACTTGCCTTTAAGTGCATGAGCCTTTTGTTTTGTATAATAATTTCGGTTATGATTTTTGAGTGATTTAGTTCCCAAAAAAAATGTACAGAATTAGGTATTGTTCTTTGTGTGATACCAAATCAAACACAACAAATAAATTCATAGTATAATACACATATACTAATTAATAATGCATAGTCACCATAGAGCTGAAGTTTTTTGACAATGAGCTTAACTAACTATAAAATCTACATAATATGAAGAAGTGTTATGTATGTTTTAGGTACCAGAATATTGTACTCAGCTTACTGAGGCAGAGGTATTAAATCAGGCATTCAATTTGCTGTTTGCGTTTGATGAAATTGTAGCCCTTGGTTACAGAGAAAGTGTTAATTTGGCTCAGGTATGTGTTCACTCCACTTGAAATAATATTATGTTTGTATTTGTAATTTTACTATAGAATTTAAGAAGGCACCACTCTTCACTATTAAACAATTAGTACCCTGTAAATTATTTTCAGTATACAGTATGAATTGTTCCCAAGCTCATTAAAGTTTGGATATTATGGAATTGACTTTTATTAAACATAATAATTATGTATAACAAACAAACAACTTATTAGTAGCTATATTTATGGGACTTCTTATAACATGGCTTGACTACAAATTTTATTTCATTTACTAAAAGCGTTTACATTAGAATAAGTGCATTTTCTTTTTTAGTAAATTACTTGCAAAATGTGTAATATGTACTAAATTAGTGTTTCCTCAGGTGCGTTCATTTGTGGAGATGGACTCTCACGAAGAAAAGATCTACCAAGCTGTCAGACAGGTGGGTTGATTTGTGTATGTCATATTCCCTTAGATATATTATATGTTATAGCCAGCTATTGTAAAGTCACATTTTTTAGAAGCGTGTTGTTTTTTATAATAAAGTATCGTCCCCTAGCAGATGATTGAAATCTTAATATATTTAGATATTATAACTATAATAGATATTAGAATTAATAAACGGTTATTCTGATAAACACAGACTCAAGAGCGAGAAGCAGCGAACCGTATGCGAGAAAAAGCAAAAGAGTTACAACGCGAGAGATTGGAAGCGGCCAAAGGAAGGTACACTGGAGCTTCACACAAGTCGTTTGGTAAGAATTAAAAGACAAAATATTTCCATTAGAACTGTTTTTATTTTATTTATTATTATAGTTACTGTACTCTTGTATATCTGTTTTATTGTGTAATTTTAAGGACTACCGAAGGCCTACTTTAATACTTTTTGTTTTGAAAATTATTGCACCTAAAATCGAACATACGACGTCAGAATTGACTAAACCCTAACAGCCAAACGTTGCTTAGTTGATAATAGGGCCTGGGCTAGACAGGCTACTTCTAATTAATTTACGATATTTGTTTTAAAATAATTTTAAAGAAAAACTTTTTAACCGGATTAAAGTTATGTATTATTATAAATTTACAATTATTTAACATAATTTTAAATTTATCCGACGTTTCGCGTGCTTTACAGCGTGCGTGGTCACGGTGACTAAGTAAAAATAAGTTGTTCGATGATTTGCTATTTTAGAAGAATACCGAGAGTTTTTACGCCGCCTTTTTTTTTCCCCCCCCCCCCTTTTTTTTTTTTTTGAGTAGGGATTAATAATTTAATGACGTGGAATAAGTGATACCTGTATCTTATATTCCATAATAAACATAATTTATTTTTTAATT